GCAACCACAATGGGGCCCCGACTAATTTTTGTATTTTTTAGTAGAGATGGGGGTTTGTCATAATTGGGCAGGGTCTGGCTTTTGAAACCCTCCTGGACCTCAGGTGATCCACCCACCTCAGCTGCACCCAAGTGCTGGGATTACAGCGTGAGCCATTGCGCCTGGCCTTCCAACCAGGGGATTTTTTTTTTTTTTTTTTTTTGAGGTGGATCTCGCTCTTGTCGCCCAGGCTGGAATGTGGCAGTGGCCCGGATCTTCGGCTCACTGCAAGCCTCCGGCCTCCCAGGTTCACCCATTCTCCTGCCTCAGCCTCCCTGAGTAGCTGGGGACCCTACAGGCGCCCGGCCCACCACGCCGGCTAATTTTTTTGTATTTTTTAGTAGAGACAGGGTTTCATCCGTGGTCTCCGATCTCCTGACTTGTGATCCGCCCGCGCGCCTCGGCCTCCCAAAGTGCTGGGATTACAGGCCGTGAGCCACCGTGCACGGCTTGGATTATTTTTTTTTTTTTTTTTTGTATTTTTAGTAGAGACGGCGTTTACTATGTTGGCCGGCTGGTCTCCAACTCCTGACTTGTGATCCACCTGCCCTTGCCCTTCCCAAAGTTCTGGGATGACAGGCATTGAGCCCACTGTGCCTGGGCAATCCGGGGTTTCTTTAGAGGCTTCATCACATAGGAAGTGAAGGATAATTAACTCCATTTCTCAACTTTCTTCCCTTCCCTGGAGAATGGGAATCGAAGAGTTCCTAGTTTTCTAATCAACAGCTTGGTCTTGCTGGTGACAGCCCCCCCCAGAAGCCACCAGAGTCACCCTCATTAGAATAAAAGATGTCCCCGTTACCCGGGCCAAACTCCAAGGGATCCAGAGCTCTGTGTCAGAACAGAATTCAAAGACCCAAACATTAGCACAAAAGGCCAGGCGCGGTGGCTCACGCCTGTAATCCAGCACTTTGGGAAGCTGAGGCAGGCCAGATCACGAGGTCAAGAGATCAAGACCACTGGCCTAACATGGTGAAACCCCGTCTCTACTAAAAATACAAAAAATTGACTGGGCAATGGTGGCGGGCACTGTAGTTGCAGCTACTTGGGAGGCTGAGGCGAGAATCACTTGAACCTGGGAGGCGGAGGTTGCAGTGAGCCGAGATTGACCACTGTACTCCAGCCTGGCAACAGAGCGAGACTCTGTCTCAAAAAAAAAAAAAAAAATCAGCACAAAAGATTTCTAGCACTCCTATTACTCAGAAACTCAAATAAGGGTTTTAGGAGCTGTGGCGCTAGGGACTGGAGGTAAGAGACCAATGCATATCGCTTACAAAAAAAAAAAAAAAAAAATTTTTTTTTCTTGAGACAGGGTCCTGCTATGTTTCCCAGGCTGGTCTCGAACTCCTCAGCTCAATTGATCCTTCTGCCTCAGCCTTTCAAAGTGCTAGGATTACAGGCGTGAACCACCATGCTCAGCCCCTTTGTAATCTTTTACAATAAAATGGTAAAGCCAGGCATGGTGGCACACACCTGTAGTCCCAGCTACTTGGGAGGCTGAGGTAGAAGAATCGCTTGAACCCAGTAGGCGGAGGTTGCAGTGAGCCGAGATCATGCCACTGCACTCCAGCCTGGAAAACAGTGAGATTCCATCTCAAAAAAAAAAAAAAAGAAAAGAAAAAAGAAAAAATCCCTGGTAAGCTGAGGGTACTGGCCTGTAGTCTCAGCTACTCAGGAGGCTGAGACAGTGAACTATGTGGTCCAAACTACTCAATGAGGCAGTGAGCTATGACTGTGCCACTGCACTTCAGCCTGGCAGAGAGAATGAGACCTCATCTCTAAAAACAAAAAGCCTGAACTATGGGGTTCAGGGTCTTGTGACCACATCCACATGTGTGGGATGGGTGGTGTACCCCAACTCCATGGGGACAGAAGCTCCTGCACTTGAGTTCTTCCAGTCTTTGCCCACCTAAGCATCTCTTCCATCTGACTTATTCATCCCTATCCTTTGTAATATCTTTCTTTATTTTATTTTATTTTATTTTTTTGAGACGGGCTCTCATTTTGTCTCCCAGGCTGAAGTTCCAGTGGTATGATCATAGCTCACTGCAACCTCTACCTCCTAGGCTCAAGTAATCCTCTCACCTCAGCCTCCCAAGCAGCTGGAGCTACAGGTGCATACCATCACAACTAGCTAATTAAAAGAAAAATTTTTTTGGGGCCGGGTGCGGTGGCTCAAGCCTGTAATCCCAGCACTTTGGGAGGCCGAGATGGGTGGATCATGAGGTCAGGAGATCAAGACCATCCTGGCTAACACGGTGAAACCCTGTCTCTACTAAAAAAAATACAAAAAACTAGCCGGGCGAGGTGGCGGGCGCCTGTAGTCCCAGCTATCTGCTATGTTTCCCAGGCCTCGGTCCTCGGGACTCCTCAGCTCAATTGATCCTCTGCCTCAAGCCTTTCAAAGTTGCTAGGATTACAGGCTGGTGAACACCATGCTCGCAGCCCTTTGTAATCTTTTACAATAAAATGGTAAACATAACTAGAGCGTTTCCCTGAGCCTGTTGAGCTATTCTAGCCAAATGATCCAACCAGATGGGCAAAGCCCTGACTTACAGCAATCAGGTCAGAAATACATGTG